TTGAGGAGTTTAGTGGATCAGATACGAGTGTGTCATCGACACCTGTAGACTTAAGTCTACTTTTTACCAAGAATAATAAAGAATGTGTCTCTCAGTTAGAATATTCTCGGGTAATTGGAAGTTTAATGTATCTGACGAGTTGTACTAGGCCGGATATAGCTTACTCGGTTAGCAGGCTTAGTAGATACACAAGTAATCCCGATGCTTCTCATTGGAAGGGCATTGTGCGGGTGTTAAAGTATTTACGCTACACTCGGGATTATAGGCTGTATTATACTCGATATCCAGCGGTGCTAGACGGCTATAGTGATGCGATTTGGATATCAGATATAAAAGACTCAAAGTCCACTAGTGGATTTGTAATAACCCGACCCTCATATCTGTTTCTAGTATATTTTCGATCTGTTATTCTGTGTATTTACTTGCTTTCTGTGAAAAGTGATTTATATCTGTGGCATTTTTATTAGTGTATTTGGAACCTCCCTATTTTATTTTGGGGTATTGATTGTGGTGGTAATATGATGGTGAGGTAAGATTGGACCAAAAACTTTAATTCGACCAAATCGCCCACGATCAACTGTTACACTTTTGCCCTTTTCTTTTTCCACATTTAGAATTTGTATGTGAGGTTAGAACCATTGGAAAGCTTATTTTCGGGGCTACAATTTGGACACAAGAATGACCTTAAACGAAGTCCGGATGAAAGAGTTACGCCTGTTTGAAGTTTTCATATCTGTGCTGGAAGCAGGACCGCACGTGCGGGAAATGCGGCGCACGTGCGGCGATGTGCGGGGCAGCAGCTCAAAAACGTGATTTTTGAGTCATTTCTTAGATTTTCTTTTCCTCTCTTCTTCTTCACTCTTCCATGTCCGAAACCTTAGCTCCCAAAACCTTGATTTCCTCCACTTTTCTCAACAAATCAACCATGGATCTTGCATCAAGGATGGAGAATAAGAGGAGATCACCACCAGTCCACCCAAGTCCTCAAGAAATTTTTGAGGTATGTTGGGATTCTATTATGGGGTTTAGAGTATGGCTTATGGGTTATGGACCTAGGGTGCCTAATAAATGAGAAGATTTGGAATAAAAAGTAATGGGTTAAGAAAATAACGAACCCTCCTACGAACAAGTTAGAAGAGAGAGATTGATGGTGTGTAGCAATAGAGTGATGATAGGGAACTTAACCTTCTTTTTGTCTTAGAAACCTTCTTATATCCTTTGTTCATCATTTCGTTGTCCACTTTGACCTGTCATGTTGGCTGAAAGTCTATGCTCTAGCTTGCCTTGTTCATGGTGAGGCTGTTCTATTCCGACGTGAAGGGGTTATCGCATTAAATGCTGCAGGAGACCTCATTAATGGCCGATGTGTGGTGCAATAACTCTACAGGATCTTTGTCTGCTCACGTGACTGGTTCTGCTCTTGATAAGTGTTTAGATGTCATTGGTTCTTGGTGCAACGTTGGGTTTCAGTAATGATGAGCTTTAGTGTTTGAACCGTGTATTGGGCTCTAAGTGGTGGGCCAAAAGCCTCTAGGTGGTGGGCCAAAAGCCTCTATGGGCCCACCTATGTCACCCATAAAAAGTAAAATATTTGTGAACAAAATATTTAAATAATTCAATAGCAATACAAATATTTTTAAAATTTATTGCATTTTTGTATTTTTTTTATATAGATTTCACAAATATTGTACCTTTGAATTAGATATATCTAAAAAATTGAAAATAGATGCACCCAAAAAATAAAATAAGATAGACTAAAATATTAAAATATTTATCATAAATAATAAAACACGAAAATTTAAAATTTAAAAATTATATTTAAAAA